TCATTTTTGAACTGATAACACAAATCAGCAATGTGCAGGGGGAAGCATTGAAACAAAGGTGCACAGTGATAACTCCACCGCAAGATCCTTTCCAGACTTCTGTCTTCAGTGTTGGGTGTCTCCGCGACTGGACGACAAGGATTCTGAGGGGTTGCAGACTCCCGCTATACAAGGCACAGCTCAGATACAGAGCTGTTCTTTTTAGCAGAGAAAAGAGACTCTTAAAAAGTACAATAAATATCTTGAAGTACTGGAAGAGATCACACACAGAGGAGGGATTAAACTTATTCAGAGTTATTCCAAAGGGCTAAACAAGAACCAATGTATAGGAGAAGTTGTTAGTGGGAGGTGGATTCAGCCCAGAATGAGATGGCTTTAATGATTAGAGCTGTCCAAATATGGAACAGACTGCCTTTTACCATCTCCATTGCCTTACAGGAGGGTTGTAGAGCGTTGGGAAGTTAGCATGTCATTCTTTTCTACTGAGCCTTTTCTATCTACCTAGCTTTTCAAACCAGCCTGCCTACTACCAGATAATATCCTCCTTTATTAATTCCTTTGAAGTTCTTTGATCAAATCATCCATCTTTCTGAATCACAGTTTCTCTTTTTTTCCTCTCCCTGTCCCCAGCCGACTGAAAATAGCTACAATCCTTGGTGAAAAATAGAGTACAGTTGACCCTTGAACAACAGGGGGCTTAGAGGCGCCCACCCTCCACGAGGTTGAAAGTCCAAGTTGGCCCAAATACACAGTTCCTCCACATCTGTAGTTCCAAATCCGAGGATTCAACCAACCACAGGCAGATCATACAGTACTTCAGTATTCATTATAGAAAAAAATATGCATGGGAGTGGACCCACACAGTTCAAACCTGTGTTGTTCAAGGGTCAACTGTATTTCTAAAACCCATTCTTACTTTGTTTAACCTTATTAACCATAAGCATGTGTATAAAATACATTGAGCATAAGTCTATTTCTACATAAGAGTAAATCTTTCTGCCTTTGGGAGGCTATGTTTTGCTAAATTTTGGCAACCTCTAAATAACAGGTTTCACCCCAATGTTCATTGCAGCACTATTTACAATAGCCAGGTCATGGAAGCAACCTAAATGTCTACCGACTGATGAATTGATAAAGAAGGTGTAGTACATATACACAATGGGATATTAGCCATAAAAAGGAATGAAATTGGGTCATTTGTAAAGATGTGGGTGGACCTAGAGACTGTCATACAGAGGGAAGTAAGTCAGAAAAACAAATATCATATATTGCATACATGTGGAATATGGAAAAATGGTACAGATGAACCATTGAAAGGCAAACATAGAGACACAGATGTAGAAAACAAACGTATGGACACCAAGGGGGGAAGGTGGGTGGGATGAACTGGGAGATTGGGATTGACATATATACACTAATATGTATAAAGTAGATAACTAATGAGAACCTGCTGTATAGCACAAGGAACTCTACTCAGTGGTCTGTGGTGACCTAAATGGGAAGCAAATCCAAAAAAGAGGGGATATATGTATACGTGGAGCTGATTCACTTCACTGTACAGCAGAAACTAACAGAACATTGTAAAGCAACTATACCTCAATTTAAAAAGAAAAACCACTGTGACCATTATAAAAATAAATAAATAAATAAATAAACAACAGGTTTCAGAGACACCAATGGGTTGAGGAACCAAGGGCATAATTAGTATGTGATACAGAAGGGGCCAATCCCAGGCTGAAAAGCACACTGTTTCAGTTTAAGGGAATACAGACCATCCCTGACTTATGATGGTTTGACCTACAATTTTTCAACTTCAAGATGGTGCGAAAGCGATACACATTCAGTAGAAACTGAATTTTGACCTTTTCCCAGGCTATCAATACGCAGTACCATCCTCTCTTAAGATGCTGGGCAGCGGCAGCGAGCTGCAGCTCCCAATCAGCTGTGCAGATCACAAGGGTAAACACTGATACACTTAAAACCATTCTGTTTTTCACTTTAAATAAATTACATGAGATATTCAGTACTTTATTATAAAATAGGTCTTGTGTTAGATGATTTTGCCCAACTGTAGGCTAATGTGTGCTGAGCACATTGAAGGTAGGCTAGACTAAGCTATGAAGCTCAGTAGGTTAGGTGTCTTACGTACATTTTCGAATTATGATATTTTCAACTTATGATGGGTTTATCAGGCCGTAATCCCATGGTACGTTGAGGAATACCTGTATTCCAACCTCCAGGAAATAGAAGATTTGCAAAGAACAGTCTGGTAACACGACCAATGTGAACTTAGACATTACTTGTCTCTGAGAAACCTATAATGCTGCCTCACTTTGTTTTTTGTTTGTCTGCTTTTAATATTTGTCTGCGCTGGGTCTTAGTTGCGGCACGCAGGAACTTCGGTGCCGCATGCGGGATCTTTAGTTGCAGCATGTGGGATCTAGTTCCCTGACCAGGGATTGAACCCAGGCCCCCTGCATTGGGAGTGCTGAGTCTTAGCCACTGGACCACCAGGGAAGTCCCTGTTTGTTCGTTTTAAGCCTAACCTTCACAGCCATTCACATGAGGCAAGTAGTTCAGAGGCCTTCTGGTTTACATCACACACTGGAAATCAATAAACTTGAGTTCAGCAAAAATTTGCTGAGGTCCTCTCAAAGCCAGGCCCTTTGCAAGTCACTGATAGATCAGGGATGGTGGGGCTCTTTCATTCACTCAAACAGTAGGCATTCAATAAATGATGAGTGTATACCAGGGGACTCCTATATCCTGAAGATGGACAAGCTAGACAAGACATGCTGTTCTCATGGAGCTTACATCCTAGTAGGGGGAGACAAGCAGTAAACAGCTAAGCAAAAAATACAACATCAGAGATAAGTGCTGTGAAGAAAATAAAACACTAATGTGATAGCGAGGGTGACTGGGGAGGGTAGCCCTTTTAGTCAAGACATCTCTGAGGAGGTAACATGTAAGCTGAAATCTGAACAATAACAAGGAGCTCGAAGATCTGGGGAAGAGCATTCAGTACAAAAGCACAGATCAGGAACCTCCCAAGAAGCTCAAGAAGCAGAAGCACTTACAACCCCAAGCAGAGACCAAGCCACAGAACGGAGATCCAAATGCTCAAGATAATTTCCAGGCTGAGAAAGGTAACAATCCTCCTGCCTGGAGTGCTTTTACACTCGCTGGGGTGAGGCAGAAGAGTTGGTAAGAAGTGGTGCAGGGGCTTCCCTGGTGGCGCAGTGGTTGGGAGTCCGCCTGCCGATGCGGGGGACACGGGTTCGTGCCCCGGTCCGGGAGGATCCCGCATGCCGCGGAGCGGCTGGGCCCATGAGCCATGGCAGCTGAGCCTGCGCGTCCGGGGCCTGTGCTCCGCAGCGGGAGAGGCCGCAGCGGTGAGAGGCCCGCGTACCGCAAAAAAAAAAAAAAAAAGAAGTGGTGCAGACCTGGTCTGAGGGGGAAAAGAACCACCAGCCCTCCATTACCACAACCCCCCCACCGTGCAGCCACGTGTCCCTGCTGGAAGAGGCTCCAATCCTGTGACCTAACCAGTTTCCACTTTGCTTCTCTTAGTGCATTGCCATACACTAGAATTTTTGTTTATTTCATGTAGGGTTTTGTTGGTCCTTTTCCAAGTATCAATTAAAACTGTATACCAGCCTCCACTCCTTGGAAATAATTAAATGAAATGACAAAATGACGTGCCTGATTTTTTCAGCTAGGTAATGTACTGTGATTTGCATCTGTTAAAGGACTTTAAGTCCTGAAGCTGAGCCATCTGGGACAACTGAGGTGATTTTTGTTCTGCCTTGGCTCCTGTGGATGGTACACCATAGCCAAACACAAAAGTGGACTAAATGCTTCATTCTGCAACATAGTCCCTTAAGAAAACTGCCCTTTGTGAGGCGAATGTGTTCACCTTTTGCTCAAGAATTCAATGCGAAGGTCCCTTTCCCTGTTGTCTAATTTTTTTATATTGGCAAAATTCCCTTTATCTTGCTGTTACATAGGTTTTCTTTTTTTTAATTTACTTTTTATTTTATATTATAGTTGATTTACAATGTTGTGTTAGTTTCAGGTGTACAGCTAAGTGATTTAGTTATATATATGTATGTTTTTTCTCAGATTCTTTTCCCATTTAGGTTATTACAGAATATTGAGAAGAGTTCCTTGTGCTATACTGTAGGTCCTTGTTGAGGTAGGTTTTCTACAGACCTCAAGAGCAAATTATCTGTGGTTTAAGAATAGATTTTTGGATTAAAGTCCTTTTTTCCCCTATTGGGGAAAGGGGCAGTCTAGAAAATAGCCTTAATCAATGCCCAAGCGAGGCACCTTCATGCAGACATGTTATCAAAGGCTGTGTGTGATATTAAAAACAATATGGGATGCGGTGTTCCTGAAGCGACAGATGAGGGATTTTGGCCGTGTGGGAAGTGAACTGCGGAATTCCTCCCCTCGGTTCCTAAGAGGGGCTCTGAAGTACACAGATTGGGTTGCAGAGTGCGGCCCTGGGGGGTGGAGGGCAAGGGGACGAGCCAAGGACACCAACCCCAGCGCGCTTCGGTGAAGCTCTGCGCCGACCGAGTTCATAAGGTTCCTCGGCCTCGCCTTCCCAGTCACCCACCCCAACCCGAGGCCGACTCTGAAGGGTAGGCAGTTCCCTTGGGGCAGCGAGTGCAGGGAGCCCACGTGAGCCCTCCACCTCCCTGGGTTCTACGTCTACAGGTGATTGAACCGGGCGGGAATCGAGATCCGCATTAGCCAAAGAGAGGCGGAGGGCTCTCCGCCGAACAGCCGATCAGAGCGCGCAGGGCGCGGGCACGCCGGCTTCGATCCGGGTTCCTGGGGGCGGTTCGAGGGAGGAGGCGGGGCTTGCGCGGCCGCGTGGGCGCAAGTCGCGCGGGAGGGAGGGAGCCTGAGGGAGGGGGCGGGGCCGCGCCTCCCGCGCCGCGCTGGGCCCTCTCGGCCAATGAGCGGCGTCCACATGCCGCGGCGGCGGCGAGAGGGGAGGCAGCGGCGGATAAATGCTATTAGAGCAGCCGCCGCGGAGCCGTCCCCGACGCCACCTCCTTCCCCTCCGCTCCGGTTTCCTCCACTGCTGCCGGGGGTGCAGAGCTGAGGGGACAGGGCGAGCGCGCCGCGCATCACCCCGCCGGCTCTCCTCCGTTGCTCCGTTCCGCTCTCAGGGGTCGGCCGAGCGCCCCCTCTACCGGCCCGGGCGGGGCCGAGAATCACCTCAGGAGCACGGGGAGGGGGCCTAGGGGCCGCGGCCTGCACTCCCGGCGGGCGGTTGAGGGTGAAGGAGGCCCTCCCTTCTGACGAGGGGAGGGAGGGTCGGGAGCCCCCCCCCCCCCACCGTCCAGCTGTGCCCGGGGCGGGCGCCGGCGAGGGCCGGGCTGCGAGAGGGGCGGTTGCTGGGGGAGGGGGTGCGGGGTGATTTAGCGCCCGGCGAGGCGGAAGCGGCCGGAGTAGGAGAAGGAGGGGGGAGAGACCAGTCCGCGCCTGGGCGCCCGGGGTGGCACGAGCCCGCGGCCCGAGTGCGAGGCGGAGGCGAGGAGGCCGCGGGGACTGGAGGCGAGGCCGGCCGGGCCCCCGCAGCCATGGAGAACGCGCACACAAAGACGGTAGAGGAAGTGCTGGGTCACTTCGGCGTCAACGAGAGCACAGGGCTGAGCCTGGAGCAGGTCAAGAAGCTCAAGGAGAGATGGGGCTCCAACGGTAGGTGCCCGGCGCCGGGGCTGCAGCGGCGCCGCGCGGCTAGGCGCGGGCCCGAGAGCCAGGAAAGATGGCTGACTGAGCTCCACCTCGTGGGTTTCGGCTCCGCGCCTGACTAGGGCTGCAGGCGGCGGGTTGAGCCCGTGCGCCAGCCCCGCGGGAGAGGGGTTGCAGGCTGGGGGCTCCGGCGTCTTGTCTGCGCCTCCTCTCGACTTCCTCGCGGCTCCAGCCCTTGACCTTCCCCGTACGCAGCTAGCTCCGCGGCTTCTCACCAGCAGCAGCCGGCCCCGGCGGAGGGAGGGATGAGCCTCTTGCATCTGGGTTGAGCCCTGCGAGACATTTTCTCGTCCCTACCCGGTTTATGAGGCGTTGTAGTTGAGAATGCCTCTGACCGTTCTTGTACTACCCAAAGTTACACATCTGGTAGAAGTGATGACAGGGCTGAAATGACTCCTTGTTTCAGGAGACTTACTTAGGTGGTGATGAGATTTCACGTTTTGGAGTAGATCAGTACAACAAATACTGCATATTTTCTTGAGGTACCATTTTGGTATGGTTTCTGTTAAATATGGTTGAATGTTCATATATCTAGGTGCGTCTTTCAAAGGCAGTGATAATTTAGTAATTTTTGTAAAGACAGAGTGCTAAAATGTTTTTTTTCCCCCCCTCTTGACACGTTGCCTGGTGAATTTCTACATTCTACAGAGTTACCGGCTGAAGAAGGTGAGTAATCTTAACACGTTTCTTCCCCCACTTTGTGTGCTCATCTTAAGATGACATTTACAACAGATATGTTTCTTTCTAACAGGAAAAACCTTGCTGGAACTTGTGATTGAGCAGTTTGAAGACTTACTAGTTAGAATTTTATTGTTGGCAGCATGTATATCTTTTGTAAGTATAAAGAAATTTACTTTCCAAAAGTTGAGACTATACCATAGATGAAAAACCAGGAAACAAATGTCTATTGAGTGAGAACATTATATTTGGAGATGTAAGCTGTTTCTTCATGTTTTGTGTGGGGTTTTTGGGTTGTTTGTTTTTTTTTTTGATTCCCTAGGTATTTTAAATTTATAAGTAAAACATTTGAAGCCATTCGCGTACAGAAAATAAATGGATGTCTGACATTGGCAGTGCAGTTAGAGATTGTTCCCAAATGCGGCAGGCAGGGTCTTATAAATTCTTGTGGTTTATCAGCTTTTAATATCAAAAAGTTCTTTATTGGAAGGCCTTTTCTGTTTTGGGTTCTTCCGTTGTGTAAGATCATACTAAGATGATGTTGGGCTCTTTGTAGTCTGTAAATAGAACTTACAAAAGGAATATTCCAGTTGCTCTCCCTTCCTGGTAATGGCAAGGTGACAGTTGTTTCTGACAGTGACAAGAATGATGACGGCAGTGATGGCACCACTGTTGACCAAATTTGGTCACTGACCTTTAGGGTGGTAAATTTATCTAAATTGGACCCCTGTCTTGAGTGGCTCCTAGGTTGAGAGAACAAGGTTTAGTACAATTGGTTCTAGACCTTAAAAGAAAAAAAAAAAACAAAAAACTTTTTTCATGTTCTTTATGTGCTTACCAGCTTGAGTCCTGTATGGTTGCTAAGAAACTGGTGAAATGCAAAGAACAGCAGAAGAAAGGTGATGGGGGTTGGAAAGGATAATTCTAGGTTATTATTAACATTTTTTTCGTGTTCAATATTGATTTTTTTATTGCATTTTTTTTCTTGGGCATTGGACTTCGAAGTTTTCCTAAAAATGGTCATGAATAGGACACAGATGTTCCTAATCCTAACAGCATGAGATGCCTTTTGTTCTTAAAGTACAGTATTCTATTCTTATAAAAACCAAGATGGGAAGTGAAATTCACTCAGTGCAATAACTTGTTTCAGGCTTTGCAAACTTGACACAGCTTCAAGGTTTCATTTTTGTGTGTTTGTAAGCATGCAAGCCTCAGGGATCTACCTCTGTCTTTATTGACAACCTTACCCTAGAGGGCTATTTTGAGAGCTAAATACACGAAGCAGTGGGCATTTCTTTACTTTCGGTGAAGGGAAAAACTTGGCAAGAGGTGAACTTTTTTGGAGTTTCTGTACGCAGATTCTGCCATGAGACTTTAATATGTCATGCCATGTTAGCCAAGTGATGTAGCCGTTAATAATTAATTCCTCACGAATGTTTTCTACGGTTTTCATTGAATGAAATTAAGAGAGTATCATAGCAAATCATTAAGCATCCTGAATTAGTCACTCCATACCTTACACGTGTCTGTTTTTCTTGGTTGGTTAAAAAAAATTCCTCTTCAGTAAGTGGCTGCTGCTTTACCAATTCAGATAAAGGAACAGAGCTGTTTGATTAATTAGTTTCAATACATTGTCGTGGAACAAAACAAATAATGTGTTTGAGGTAGTATAATGTTTATGTTTAAGCTGGCTACATAATTTTAAAATAGTCTCAAGCTTGGTAGTTTTAATACTGCGCTTCAGTAAGGTCATCGGGGATCTCTTAGAAGTTAATCAGCTGCTATATACAAGAAGAGATAAAATAAATTTTTATTGCGTTATTTTGTGTGTGTAATTTAAGGCAGTGTTGTAACATCGGTGGCATTATTTCCAGTAGACAAGCTATTGACTATTTGGGTTGTATAGGATCTCTTGAGTGGCCAGTTTGAGTGACTTTATATTAATATTTTGAAATAATGATGTGAGTTTTACTTTGAAGTAAGGAGCTTAAATCTTCTGGGCATTTTCAAATGTTTTTTTAAAATTATTATTATTATTTTATTTTTTGGCTGTGCTGCACAGCTTGCAGTATCTGTAGTTCCCCAATCAGGGAATGAACCCGGCCGCAGCAGTGAAAGCCCCGAATCCTAACCACTGGAGTGCCAGGGAATTCCCTCAAATGGGTTTTTAAATAAAAGCTTTAATTTTGTTGTAAGGTAGGATGTTGGCTTTTTATAGCTTTTTAGAGCTATATTTTGGAGTTGAAATTTGAGTTACCTTTTTGGTAACTACATGGAGTTATTGCTTAGGAAATGAACTATGTTACATTTTTATTTTATGGGTTGCTAAACAGAAAAGTTTAAACATTTATTGTTTAGGAAGTACTGTAACTTAATTTGGTTTGATTTGTTTGATCAAGAAATTGCAGATATAAAACTTGTTGATTTTCTTCATGTGGGATTAGCACTACTGCTACATTATGCTTGACCCTTTTCGTTCCACATTTCTTTACCTTTGAAAAGCACTGAGTTTTTTGTGGTAGTCAGTTCATTCCTATTCGTTTAAAAGGAAAAATGGTAAAATATACGTGCTCTTTTGGAGAAGCAGATAGGCAGTTTTTATAATCTGTATATGATACATCATCAGGTTCTGCTCAAATTAAGAAATACTAGGCTTTAGTGATATATTTCAAATATCTAAGTAGTAGACTGTTAACCATAGTTAATATTTTGCGTTGGCAGAAAGTAGAAACAGCATTAATGTTTTATACTTGTGACCTGTAGGGATAAAGTTTAATTAACTTGTCACTTGGGTTGAAAGAAGTGAGCTATATATCTCCCATTGTATGTGAAGTAACATTAGAAATTCCTTAACTTGACATTCAGTACCTTCCTATCCTTTTCACTTTTTCTTTCCATTCCCCTTGTTCACCAACTTTGCCCTTCATATAACACATCATATGTTTGCTTAATTGGAATGCCTGTTCTTTTCTCTCTTCCCTGCTTTGTTAGGAATTGAGCACCTTAGGTACATGGCACAAACACTGGGGATACAGCATGGAACGAAATACACGGTCTCTTACCTGGAGCTGATGTTCTAGTGGAGACAGATAAAAGTAAAATATATAATAAACTGTTGGATTGGAGATAGTGCTGTGGAAAAAAATAACATGGTTGGTGGTGGCGGAATAGGGGAGCCTGTGGAAGGAGTGCAGTTTTCAAATAGGGCGGTCAGGAGAGGTGTCTAAGGTGACAGTTAACCTGAAGGAAGTGAGCGTGAGGACCATATTTGTCTCATCTGTCAGAATCATAAAGTCCTCTCTGGTAACACAATTTGCATAAGCTTCTCTACCCTTCACCCCCATTTCCCTATCTCAGTTACTTAGATTGACCCTAAAATGCGAATAAAACTTTCTTAGACCAGGGCATTTCTCAACTTTGATTTACATTTGAATAATTTGTCTTTTCTTCCTACTGGAACCTTTGAAGGGATTCTTAATTCCTTTTAGAACCTAGGTTAGTACTTCTTTTCTTTAATTAATTAATGAATTTGTTTTTTATTTATTTATTTTTGGCCGTGTTGGGTCTTCGTTGCTGCGCGCGCGGGTTTTCTCTAGTTGCAGCGAGCGGGGGCTACTCTTCGTTGTGGTGCGCAGGCTTCCCATTACGGTGGCTTCTTTTGTTGCGGAGCACGGGCTCTAGGCGTGTGGGCTTTAATAGTTGCAGCACGCAGACTCAGCAGTTGTGGCTCGTGGGCTCTAGAGCGCAGGCTCAGTAGCTGTGGCTCACTAGCTGTGGCTCACGGGCTTAGTTGCTCCACGGCATGTGGGATCTTCCCGGACCAGGGCTCGAACCTGTGTCCCCTGCATTGGTAGGCGGATTCTTAAGCACTGCGCCACTAGAGAAGTGTCCCAGGTTAGTGCTTTTGAGTTAACAAATATTTGGATGAGTTTGTGTTGGTAGTATTTTCAAAGTACATGAAATTTGTTTACTTTGGTTTTCTCAGTAAGATATATTCAAGAAGTATTTGATAATGTAGTGATTTTAAATTTTTCCTGTGTTTTCTTTTAATTATTTTGAAGGACAAAATGGGCAGTTTACTGATTGGTTTAAGTAATTTATTTAGAGCCTGTCTTTAAAATATGGTTTGAAAGGTGAATGTGTATGGGGTTTTTTGTTTTCTTTTAAATAAGGTTGTATTTTCAAATCTGAAAATATTGAAGAGTGTTTTCACATAAGCTTTATGTCTGGTTCACAAGAGAATCTATAGTCTAATTCATACTATTCTTTTTATAATGGCTGAAAGAATTTTTGTTTCTCACTTCAGAAAATTGCTATAACACTTATTGGTGATACTTTCTTATTTGTTTCCTCTTTTTAAATTTCTTGATGTAAATTTTTTCCTTCATTGAACAAATGTTTGAGTGCCCTAAGGCATTGCAAATTTCTAAGGATACAAGGAGGAATGCAGACCTGATACATGTTTTAAGACCCTCAGTCTTAAGAATGTGCTTATGATCTCTCATTTTATTCTTAAGTTCTTGTTAAGAGCTCTGCACATTATCCTAACGTGTAGATAACTGAGTCATGGTACCATGACTGTCTCCTAGTTTATACCAGAACATCCCTTTTTACCTTGGATTAAAATTTGCTTAATTCATTAAACCCTGCTCTCTGGCATCTTTCGGCTGTACTCTCAGAAGTTATGGTGATATACGGAGATCAGTCTTCCATATAACAATTAGAAGATACCCTACCCTGTCTAAAGTAACCTAGCAAGGGAATTCCCAGTGGTTAGGACTCTGTGCTTTCACTGCCAGGACCCAGGTTCGATCCCTGGTCAGGGAATTAAATAAATAAAGTAAAATAAATAAAGTAACCTAGCAAGTGTTTACTTTGAATAGGATTGACAAGTTTGAAACTTTTGAACTTGCCGTAGCTGGATACTGTAAGCCCCAGAAGTACTATTACTGTATTAATAGTGCAAAGCAAAGAAAGAAGAAACACTATGCCTAAAATTATACTGCAGTAGCTTTTCCTTCCACTTCCCTTTGATACTGTTAATGAGGTTGGTTACCTTTTTGCCCTCTTAATGTTTAAGTTCATAGACTGCCAGGTAGGGACTTGTACCTTAGACATTGTATGAGATTTTGTTTTGTTTATTCATGCATTTATTCAGTAAATATATAGTGAGCATCAACTATGTACCAGAGACTCTTCTAGACCCCTGGGGGGATAGAATAATCAACAAAAGGAAATACAAACAGATAATCCTTTATATTCAACCTGTTCTCAATAAAGATTTTTTAGAAACATTCTCTCTGCCCCCTGTATATTTTGTATAACTTCTGGTAACCATAATTATGAACTGACTGTACTATAATGCTAATAAGACATAGTAATTTGTCACTCATCCAGTTTCCCTCTTCACTACCCTCTTCCCCATCTCATGGGATCTTCCATCGGTCAGCATCATCTTCCCATTTACACAAGAGAGGTTTTCTTTTCAATAGAACAAAACCATGAAGGACTGCACCATGTGGTTTGAACATGATTGACTGGATTGATTCTTAGCAGTAAATGAAATACGGTTCATCTTTATTTTGAGCTGTAGCACTTAATTCTTTGGGTTATTTGTGGGTTTCAAAATATTTTTTTAAATATTAGAAAATTGGTAGTTGTCAGTGTTAAATAGGTTCAGCACTGCCCTTCCACACTAAGAGATTTGCCCACTAGTTTCTCATCAGGCAGTAATTATACATTGTACAGAACCCTCAAATAACTATGAATGCCTGTGTTTCTTACACATAAACATTTAAAGTCACATAGTGGAAGAAAAGGCTACTTCATAATACAGATGAGGGTTATTGCATTATGGATAAATACCACTTGTGCAAAGGAACCACACATTTCTTGAAAAGTAGAGGTTTGCTTTGATAGTCCTGTCACTGCTTGCTTTCTTTAGTCTTTTTCTTTGTTCCAGCTTATGTGGGATATTGCTTTAAGTTTGTTCCTCCGGCCTAGCTGCCAAGAGGGAAATTCATACCCAATTTAACAAGGTGTGAAGCTTATCTTACAGTTGCTAATGCCTCACTGACCTTTTCTAAAGGTCCTAGTTACTCTTCAAGTTGAGCAATTTTTCTCCCCCAAGAGCTAATTTAAGTTTCTTATTTCTGATAGCTCTCCTTGGCAAATGTTTGAAAGGCTAGCATCAAAGCAGCTGTGATCTTGCATCTACCAAAATTTATAACTTCCTAGAGAAGTTTTCATCCTGCCATTAGGCCTGGCCTTAACACCAGGAATGCCCAGCTGAAAGCTTGCAGGAACAATTTATATTCATTCTGGTGTTCTGCTTGCCCTGGTTCATTAGCTGTCAGTGGTGATTGGCGTCTTTCAGGACCTGGCCTTGGGTCTCCTGTTTTTTTTCCTGCTCAAATTGATATGATATTTCTTTTGTTGGTGGTATAGTGGTGAGCAAAGCTGCCTAACAAATTGATATTTGTTGTTAATTCATCGTTACCCTCATTTACTTGCAAAATTCATGTTGGGTCTTACCTTAATCATCTTTCTGTTTGTTTGCTGTTTGTGTCAAAGCTCACTTTATAGTATTCCACTAGGTACAAATGTAGTTGTCAGATGGCTTCATTATTGCCATACATCATATCTGACAATATTAAAAAGTATCAGAAACAGTGCTTTCATTGTTTACTGAATAGATCTTTTAAAGAAGAGATTTCATTGTGGAATATACAAGCATTTTAAGCAGTGTTAAAAGGCAAAGGCAAATCTTACCTCCCAGACTGTATCATAAGATACCTTTAACATCCTTTTTGGATTGGCAGTTTTCCACAAAAATTGGTTGTTAAATTTTTAACCATTTAGATGCCTCTTTTACTATGTTGTTTATTTTAAGATTCATTGTGTTGGATTCTCTCTTCTTAGGGTTGCTCAGTTAGAAAGTATAGTGTGGCTTGTGTGAGCTAGAAGTTAATTCTCTGCTCATTTTTCTTGGGACAGTGTTCTGTGCCCAGGTATAACATTTTTGGATTTATGTCATCTCTGAAGAGCTGTGTTCCTATACTAGATATCATATGGAGGATAACCTTCAAAATACATTCCTGATCACAGAACAACCTTGCAGTAATGACCTTCAGCAACACCACTGAAAATACGTGGGACATTAGCAGTTTATATACTCTAATTTTGAGTCAATGATTAAGTTGTTTTTACTATGAATTTGTGCCACATAGGTATTGTTTGATGTGAATATTAACCAAATTAACAAAGTTTCATGATTGCCTTTTGCTTTAACAAAATCAGGAATTTGTTTTATTTCTTTTGAAAAATATACACAGAAAATGAATGGAATTTAGTTCCCCAAAAGTATTTGTTTTGGATTTTAAACCAATTATTACATGAAAAAATAAGTTAGTTCTTAAGGGTATTATTAAGAAGTTTATAGTTTTGAGTCTTAAGAATTATTGGGAACAAGATATAAGTTTGTTGTGTATGTCATTACATTTTGCTACCTTTTGTTTCTAAGGATGGTAAGAAAAGAGATTTTATGTATCATAATAATTCCTTTAATGCCAGCCACTTTTGTTGTAAGAACACATTACAGTTCTAACGCGTGCCATTTCTCTTTTAGGTTTTGGCTTGGTTTGAAGAAGGTGAAGAAACAATTACAGCTTTTGTAGAACCCTTTGTGATTTTACTTATATTAGTAGCCAATGCAATTGTGGGTGTATGGCAGGTAAGCAAAAATTCCTGCAGTGCAAAATTTTGGTAATTTACGTAAGTGATTTAAACTGTTAAAAACAATCTGTGGAACTACATGTGTTTTTTATCTATTAATTTATTTAATGGCAAAATTTTAGACGTCATGCATATATACTTTGCTGTTAAAATTGCTCATTCTTCATGGTAGCATGGAATTAAGAACAGTGGATAAAGAAGCTACTTAAGGAAAACCAGAAAATTTGACAACCAGTATTCTCTTTATATTTTCTAGCTGCTTCCTATGAAAAACTTTTATTCTCCTTGGGTGTGTGTGTGTGTGTGTGTGTGTGTGTGTGTGTGTGTGTGTATTTAGCTATAAAAATTGTTTAAATCCTAAATAATTTTACGTTCAGAGCATATTCCTGGCTATTTTCCCTTAACTGCCCAGTACCCAGGCCTTTCTTATTCACAGAATGGAAGCTAATTTTACTACAGAAACATAACGGGATCACACGTCTGCCCCATATTTGCATGATTGGTCTTCTGCAGATAGCTAGTTTGAGAATTTAACTTTTTTAAGACTATGGATCTGTTAGGTTTTTGTTTTTGATATATTTTAACAAACCCAGACTAATATTTCACATTCATCTTTTTATTTGTGGCTGTGTTGGGTCTTCTTTGCAGTGTGCAGGCTTTCTCTAGTTGTGGTGAGCGGGGGCTACTCTTCATTGCAGTGCGGTGGCTTCTCTTGTTGCGGAGCGCAGGCTTCTGTAGTTGTGGCTCGGGGGCTATAGAGTGCAGGCTCAGTAGTTGTGGTGCATGGGCTTAGTTGCTCTGTGGCATGTGAGATCTTCCTGGACCAGGGATCGAATCCGTGTCCCCTGCATTGGCAGGCAGATTCTTAATCACTGTGCCACCGGGGAAGTCCCTCTCATTCATCTTTTAAGTATTGATCTTTTAGATGTTTGATAGATATAGTCACCTCTTTCAGGACTAAAATAGAGTGTATCTGTCATTCTTGAAGTGGAAGCATCTTATAAACATATTTAATCCTATTGGAATTGTAAACTTCTGATCTTATTAATAAACATGAAGGCCTTTATGTGGTGAGCTCATTTAGAAGGAAGCCTACTTAGAAGAAATTTTTAATTGTGCTACATTTGATTTTTTTAAATTGCTTTTATTTAAATAGAAATGATCTTTTTGTGAATAATTTAGGCAAAAGAAACAATATATAGCATTAGATTGTCCTTCTCAAGTTAGTAATATGCATTTTTAAATTTATGTCAGTTACATAGTAGATAACTCATACATATTCCCATTTCATGCTTAGAGTGATTTTGTAAGGTAGATGATATTCCCATTGGACAGATGTGACATAGAAGTTCAGAGTGATTGACTTATCAAAGGCCATACAGATAGTACATACATAGAGTATCTGGGATTTATATCCAGGGTCAGGCTGATCTGAACTCCAAAGTAAAATTTTACAGCAATTTTCACAGGACTTTTAGATATGTCTTAGCTTAAAGAAAACAGTAATATTTTTGATGGATATCCTATTATATAATATACAGAAGGGTATGAGCAATAAATACTATAGGGTTCTTGCTTTCTGGAAGTAATGAAAGTTATAATTATAGTGTAAGGTAGTATTTGGGAGGGGTGGGGCATGTATTTCTGATCAGTGTCATCAAGGAAGGCTGACAAGCAGTTGGGGGAACTATAAAGAAATAGGACTTTTGTGGGTGGAAGCTGGGGAGAATATTCCAGAGAGGGGGTGGCATGAGCAGAGAGGTACAAAGTGTGTTTGAGGAATGACATTTAGACCTATTTAGGTTTGACTGGAGGAGGTAGGAGTTGTAACTTTTAGAACAAAGGAAACCTTAGAAGGTCTTCTAAGTTTTTGTTAATAGTAAGTTAGGTATATTTGTTTTTCCCCAAGCTGACCTGTTTTTTGTTGTTTGTTTGTTTTTGTTTTTTTTAAATAAATTTATTTATGTTTGGCTGTGTTGGGTCTCTGTTGCTTCACGCGGGTTTTCTCTAGTTGCGGTGAGTGGGGGCTACTCTTCGTTGAGGTGCGGTGGCTTCTCTTGTTGCAGAGCACGGGCTCTAGGCGGGTGGGCTCAGTAGTTGTGGCTCACAGGCTCTAGAGTGCAGGACCAGTAGCTGTGGTGCACGGGCTTAGTTGCTCTGCGGTATGTGGGATCTTCCTGGACCAGGGCTAGAACCTGTGTCCCCTGCATTGGCAGGCAGATGCTTAACCACTGAGCCACCAGGGAAGTCCCCCTGATTTTTAATGTGGAACATTTTTTTTAAAGTCTTTATTGAATTTGTTACAGTATTGCTTCTGTTCTATGTTTTGGTTTTTTGGCCACAAGGCATGTGGGATCTTAGCTCCCAGACCAGGGATCGAACCTGCACCCCCTGCATTGGAAAGCAAAGACTTAACCATTGGACCACCAGGGAAATCCCTCCCTGATTTTTAATAGAAGCAAAATACAGTGCTCCTGGACATCTTAACTTTGGTCAGTCTAATTAAACTCTACCTGACATGACCTCGAGGAAGGAGAAATAAAACTGCCACAGTTCATAAATTCAGGGGGGAAAATCCTGAGGAAAGAGTAGTTTCAAATTTGAATAATTGAATAGCAACAATGCTCAGAATTTATTCTTTCTACAGTATCAGTAACATTTGAACTTAACCTGAAGGACCTTTTAGCCAGTGACATTAATTAGAGTTAGATATGCTGGTATTTCTGTTAATTATAAGGTGATACAGATAGACTCATTCTTTAAGCAGATCTGATAGGGATTTAAATTATTCTTATCAGGAACTTTCCAAATTTAAGGTTTCCTGTACTTTCTCAGGAATGCATACATAAAAAGTTAGACACATGCCATTAGCTTTCAGTTTTGTGTCATCTAAATTCTCTTTAAGCAGGTTTGGGAACTTAATTTTTACCACAGTGTGAAAAATTAGATTGCATGTTATCGAGCATAAATTTTATCCAAATGTTAAACTGAAGAGCTTTAGGTTGGAGAGCAAAGATGTGAGAGAAATGAAAGAATTATTTCCTTTGTCCACTGAGTAACCTCAACTGGGCATGTGCTTTGTAGATTTGCTCCTTCTAATGGTTTATTTTCTTTTTTTTTTTAATTAATTAATTTTATTTTATATTTATTTTTGGCTGCGTTGGGTCTTCGTTGCTGCGTGGGGACTTTCTCTAGTTGCAGTGAGCACTCTTCATTGTGGAGTGTGGGTTTTCATTGCAGTGGCTCCTCTTGTTGCAGAGCACAGGCTCTAGGCACGAGGGCTTCAATAGTTGTGGCACACGGGCTCAGTAGTTGTGGCTTGCAGGCTCTAGAGTGCAGGCTCAGTAGTTGTGGCGCATGGGCTTAGTTGCTCCACAGCATGTGGGATCTTTCCGGACCAGGGCTCAAATCTGTGTCCCCTGCATTGTCAAGCGGATTCTTAACCACTGCGCCACCAGGGAAGTCCTAATTGCTTATTTTCTAAAAGGAGAAGAGGCAAATTTCACACATACTCCCCCACCGCCCCCCAAAGGAACTTTCCCTTAGCTTTTTTTTTTTTTCAACATGGCTCATTTTAATTCTGCATCTTTCATCTTGAAATTAGGAAATAAAAATTGTGTGTTGGGCTTCCCTGGTGGCGCAGTGGTTGAGAGTCCGCCTGCCGATGCAGGGGACACGGGTTCGTGCCCCAGTCAGGAAAGATCCCACATGCCGCAGAGCGGCTGGACCCGTGAGCCACGGCCGCTGAGCCTGCGCGTCCGGAGCCTGTGCTCCGCAATGGGAGAGGCCACAACAGTGAGAGGCCCGCGTACTGCAAAAAAAAAAAAAAAAAATTGTGTGTGACTAAGTCTTGACATGTTCATATATAATATTATGGTAAATATGGTATGTGACTGGCAGTGCTTCCGGCCACTTATTGGTCTTTCGTACTGGTGAGAGATTTAGAATTTGTGAGATGTAACTGGATTTTCTTAATTCATCACTCAAAGCATTCACTGTGTGCCAAAACACAATCTAAGCATTTTACACATAGCTTGTAAATCCTCACAACCCTTGAGGGTGGGTACTGTTAGTGTCCTGGTTTTGTAGGCCATAAAGCTGTGTGTCATGTTATCCACAGTCACATAGCTTTTGAGTGCAAAAGCCTGTGTTGAGCCTGGGCAGTCCAACCCCAGACCATCACCTTTCATGGGGGTCATGATTGATTTAATGATGTGAGTGTGTGAAGCTGAAGGTGAGGGCTATGTTGCCCAGTGTGCATAGGGACAGTAGGTTCTAATAACTGCTTCTTTCCATTGATTTTTATCTCCTTACCCTTCTTCGGGTGCTTAGTTTTTCATTTTTAATACAAAATCATAAGGGCCTAGTGTTATTACCTTAAGATGTGAATCATTTATTACAAATGTCATTAATATGCATCTCCTGTGTTTTTTCTTTTTAAGTTTAGTTTACAACTCTAAAATTTGATTCCTAGGGCCAGAAACACTTGGCAGTGGCAGGCTGTATTTACTACTGTTATCTTTTGTTTTCTTTTTTACAGGAAAGAAATGCTGAAAATGCAATCGAAGCCCTTAAGGAGTATGAGCCTGAAATGGGCAAAGTGTATCGACAAGACAGGAAGAGTGTACAGCGGATTAAAGCTAAAGACATAGTTCCTGGTGATATTGTAGAAATTGCTGGTGAGTTGAGTTTGTCATTTTTATATTAGGTTGTATATCTGAATACAGTCCTTTTCTGAAGGCTCATACTTAAGAGTTTTAAAAGTTAGGCTCATGTGTATCAATTACGTTAACAGATTTTTAGTGCTATCCAAACAAATCAGGTTTTCTGTAAAATTTTCAAAGTGTTTTGGCACCTCCCTTCATGTTGATGTGTTTATCTTTTTTTTTTTTAAACAAGGTGTTTTGAATTATTGTGCTTATTACTTTTAGTACATTGTGGAACACTAGTGCAGGTGAGATAATGAACTTAATCTTGATTTGACAGTTAGTTGTAGTGAGCAGTTTGTAGAATACTAGTTAATGGCTACATAGTTTTTCCTGTTTTGGTTCTTGGCACAAATAGGTCAATCTTGGAACCGTCAAACCTAGTTGATGGCTAAGGGTAATCTCATGACTTTAAAAGCTCTACTTAAGAATACTTTGACATAACACTGAGCCGGGAATCTAGGTTTGGGCTTTAAAGAGTTAGTGAATCCACTGCAATGCCAGAGCTCTACACAGATCTCAAAAAGGTCCTCCTTCCTATAGGTCAATGCCATGTTTTCAGGCAACCCAACCCAAATGCCCCTGGAGCCAATCAGAACTGTGTAATCTTTTTGCTGGGGAATTATTACATTGGGTTATTCAAATCATTGTGGTTTTTCACACCCTCCTGAGCTCAGAATACTTGTTTTCTTTTTGTGAATTGTCTCATAGTAACACCTTTACACTGACTTGTGGGGAAATTGTGCTTTGTCTTACTCATTGTAATGAGAATTCAGTGCTGAGTCTCCTGGCCTGTGCTCTACAGTTTTGGTCTTTGAAAATAAATTACCGGGACTTCCCTGGTGGTCCAGTGGTTAAGACTCTGCCCTCCCAATGCAGGGGGCCCGGGTTTGATCCCTGGTCAGGGAAACTAGATCCCGCATGCTGCCTGGCGCAGCCGAGAAACAGAAGAAAAACAAAAGTAAATTACCTTGTCATAGGTCTTCCAGTAAAAGAATAGTGTTGCCTGTGTACCCACACGTTGATTATACTTAGGACAGCAAAATTTGTATAAATGACCTAACAGCTTGCTTAATAGTGTTAACAAAAGTACAACTCAGAATGAAGTGTTTTGGCCAGTGGATTTTTTTTTTTTTTTAAACATCTTTATTGGGGTATAATTGCTTTACAATGGTGTGTTAGTTTCTGCTTTATAACAAAGTGAATCAGTTATGCCAGTGGATTTTTTAAACTTAATTTTGACATAATTTCAGACTTAAAAGTTGCAAGACTAGTAAGGGTTCCCATTTAGCTTTTACCCAGATTCTCCAAATGTTTGTTATCACATGTGCATTATCCTCTTTCAGTCTGTATCTATACATTCACACATTTTTGTCTGAACTGTTTGAGAGTAAGTTGCAGAAATGATGCCTCTTTACTCCTAAATACTTGAGTGATTATTTTATAAAATTTAGAGCATTCTTTTAATATGATTCCAGTTAACTACTGAAAGTAGATAACAGTATTGTATCAGTTTTTTAATCTGTAGACCTTATTTAGATTTAACCATTTTGTCACCATGGATTTTACACCAAAAATATGACTTAGGGAATTCTGGTGGTGATGTAGGAAGTAGGTCAGAATGGGAAGGCTGGAGATAGGTAAGGGCTAATGAGAGCAAACAATAACGAAGGCTGTAGCATTAAGAATAATGAGGGGAAGATTTTGAGTTTATAAGTAGGAGTTTTAAAGCAAGGGTGCACATCAGAATTATCTGGGGACCCTCCTTAAAAGTTTTTACCAGGTCTCAACCCAAAGTATTAACTCTGAATCTCCCTTGGGCAAGGAATTACAGCCATGTGTAGTTTGAAAAGTGAGCCTCAGGTTTAGGTGCCAAGCAACAGGTTTTGATAACTTAATAGATATTGGGGTGGATGTGAAGTAGGGTGTGGCATCAAAGATACTGGCAGGATATCTAGTTTAGGTGCCCGGGTGGTGATGGTGCTAGTAACTGAGGAAGGAAACATTAGAGGAAGATAGTTTGTCTTTCCACAAATATATATGTGATCGGTGCACTTGCAGGTCACCTAAATACTGCACAAGATTCTTTTTGACTTTGTGTGTTTTCCAGTTCTCCAGCTTAGTCTGGTAATATACTTTCAGCCTGTCAAATTAAGATATAGTAAGAATTTTTTGTGCTACTTAAGCTATTTCAGTATATTCAATCTATCTGAAAACTTAGAGAAATCACCCCCAAAGTGTTTATCCTTGGTTTGCATCAGTAGATGGCAGTGGTTTACAGCGTCAGAGGAAACTGTAACCTTGATCCTCAAAGCATCATCTTCCCTTTTGAAGGAATAAACTAAGACCAGCTTCTCTTCAATGGAGGTGGTTTTGGTTTCTCTTTTCTCTGAATTCTGGTTCTCTCCAGTCTTTCCTGTCTCAGTAAGTCACTCTTACCACCTAGATAACTGAGAGAAACTTGGGAATCATCTTGATTCTTTCCTCTTTTATTCTGTCTCTAAGACCAGTTGATTCTGTCTCCAAACCACACCCAAATTTGTTTACTTTTTCCTCAGTCACCACACCAGTCCCACCATCACCTCACACTGACATTGTCATTGTGTCCTAACGAGCCTCTGCCTTCCTTTACTGTTTTCTTTCCACACAGAAGCCAGTTTCCTAAAGGTCATGTTTATTCACTTGCTAAAACACTTCAGTGGCTCCTCTCTTGCACCAGAAATATAAATTTTTTTCTTTGACCCTAACTGACCTTGCATTGTATAGCTCCTGCTTGCTTCTGTGATTTCATCTTATGCAACTCCCTATGCTCTAGCCATACGGGACTCTTTTTTTTTTTTTTTTTTTTTTTTTTTTTGCTGAGTTGGGTCTTTGTTGCTGCGCCCGGGCTTTCTCTAGTTGTGGCTAGCGGGGGTTACTCTTCATTGCAGTGCGTGGGCTTCTCGTTGCGGAGCACAGGCTCTAGGTGCGCAGGCTTCAGTGGTTGTGGTGCGCGGGCTCTAGAGTGCAGGCTCAGTAGTTGTGGTGCACAGGCTTAGTTGCTCTGTGGCTCGTGGGATCTTCTCGGACCAGGGCTCGAACCCGTGTCACCTGCATTAGCAGGCAGATTCCCAACCACTGCACCACCAGGGAAGCCCCACTGCCTTTCTTTTAATATTCAAAAAAAATACTAAAACATGAGTTTAAATTCCTCATCTTAGGTGAATTACTTATTACCAATAGTAATTGTTCTAAGCAGTACACATTCTCAGCCCTATTCCGATTTCACCTGTTTTTGAATCCTTTGTGAGGAGTCTAACAGGTCCTGATAGTTAACACTTTTTTCCTCCAACTCTTCCCCCACTGTATACTAATTGCTAAAAGCATATGCAATGCTTGGACATTGGGCTCTTGTATAGTACTATTTTTTGAATTTTTACCATTCTGAGGGATGCTGAACAGAGGTGGTAACTAGTTTTAGATAGATATGAGCAACTAGTTTTAGATAGATATGAACATTTTATTAAACACTATTGTCATACTGCTAGGCAACGAGCAGAAGTGTGTCACACTGATCATTGTAATCTTGCTGAGCATGTAACAAGCGCTCAGTGAGTAATAAATGAAACTTGAAATCGGAAGTATGGAGTAGGTTTAGCTAGTGTAAACCTGCTTATTGTGCAGCTTCTGTGCAGAATAGATAATTTGAAGTCTCTATGCTTAAGTTCAGTAATAACAAAGCTTGAAGTGTGTGCCAGATATAGTGATAAACTTGCTAGTGCTTGGTTTTTAACCATCAACCACTCTATGGGGTGCATACTGTTAGTCATATTTTACAAATGAAACTGAGTCTTTGTGGTTTATTGCTTCTGTCTTCAACTGTAGTTAATTTGCTAGAGAATATACAGTATCCTTAGTGAATGTGTACATATTTCATATATCAATTTGTTGGAGGCCTAGTTTACAATCTTTTAAAAACAGCTTTATTGAGATATAATTCACATGCCATAATTAATATTCACTCCTTTAAAGTGTGTAATTAAGTGTTTTTTAGTATATTCAGAGTTCTACAGTCATAACCACTGTCTAATTTCAGAACATCTTCCTCCAAAAAGAAAACCCTATATCCATTAGCAATCACTTCCTCTGCCCGTCTTTCCCCAGTCCCTGGCAACCACAATTTTTTTTTAGGGATTTGCTTATTCTGGATATTGCATATAAATGGAATCATACAATAAATGCCCTTTTTAGACTGGCTTCTTTCACTTAGTATATTGTTCTCAGGATTCATTTATGTTGTAGCATGTATCATATAGTTCATTCATGTGTATACTGTATTCTTTATGGCTCAATAATATTCCATTGTTTAGGTATGCCACATTTTGTTTATTCATTCATAAGTTCATGAGTATTTGAGTGGTTTTCTCCTTTCTGGCTATTATGCTACTGTGAACATTCAAGTACAATTTTTGTGTGAACATATGCTTTCACTCTCTTAGATATATACCTAGACATGGAATTGCTGGAGCTTATGGTGACTCAAAGTTTAACATTTTGAGGAACTTCCCAACTGTTTTCCAAAGTGATTGCATCATTTTACATTCCATCAGCAATGCATATAGGTTCCAGTTTCTCCACATCCTCATCAACACTTGTCTTTTTTTAAATTTTAGCCTTGAAGTGTTATCTCATTGTGATTTTAATTTGTACTTCCCTAATTTCCTAATGATATTGAGCATCTTTTCATGTGCTTATTTTCAATTAGTATGTCATCTTTGAGAACTGTCTAAATCCATTGGGTTTAGTTGGGCTGTCTTTTTAATGTTGAGTTGTAAGAGTTCTTTACATATCCTGGCTTATCAGATAGGGTTTGAAAATTTTTTTTCCCATTCTGTAGGTTTCTTTTTTACTTGACAGTGTCCTTTGTAGCATAAAAGTTTTTAATTTGATAGAGTCCTATTTGTCTTTTTTTTTCTTTCATTGCTTGTGCTTTT